CCTCCCCCCCCCTCCTCATGTGTCCCCCCCTCCCCTCCGTGTGTCACAGCCATGGACATCGGGGGCCTGGAGACGGCGGTGGCCAACTCGGCCTACGTGTCGGCGCGGGGCGGCCCCGGCGCGGGGGGCAAGGACAAGCGGGCGCGGGCGCGGCTCCGCCTGCCCCACATCTCCCAGTGCGAGGCCCTGCGCGCCCAACTGGGCGGCGCCGGCGGCACCGGCACCCAGAACGGGGGGCCCGCGGCCCCCAACGGCCCCCCCGGCCACAGCCCGGACGGAGGCCAGGACACGTCGTTCCGGTGGCAGTGTGTGGAGCAGCCCATCGGGAAGCTGCTCTTCCGACGCTTCCTGGAGGGGACGCCGGAGTTTTCGGCGGCCGGGGCGCTGTGGGCCGAGCTGGAGGCCTTCGAGCAGTGCGAGGACGCCGAGAGGGCCGAGAAGGCCAAGAAGCTGCAGGGGCGGTTCTTCACGGCCGGCGGGGCCGAGCACTGCGGCTTCCTCAGCTCCGCTGCCACGGCCGTGCCCACAGGTGAGGGGCTGACGTGGCGGGCGTGGCGCCGGCATGGTGGACGTGGCATCAACATGGCGGCCGTGGCGTCAATATGGCGGCCATGACACCAACATGGAGGTCATGGCACCAACATGGCGGCCATGGCAACAATATGGCGGCCATGACACCAACATGGCGGCCATGGCATCAATATGGTGGCCATGGTAACAATATGGAGGTCATGACACCAACATGGCGGCCATGGCATCGATATGGCGCCCGTGACATCAATATGGTGATCATGGCACCAATATGGCAGCCACGGCAACAATATGATGGCCATGGTACCAATATGGTGATCATAGCACCAACATGACGGTCATGGCACCAATATGGCGGCCATAGCACCAACATGATGACCATGGCAAAAATATGGCAGCCATGGCATCAACATGGAGGCCATGACACCAATATGGTGGTCATGACACCAACATGGCAGCCATGGCAACAATATAGTGGCCATGGCATCAATATGGTGGCCATGGCACCAATATGGTGATCATGGCATCAACATGGCGGCCACGGCAACAATATGGCGGTCGTGGCACCAACATGATGACCATGGCAAAAATATGGCAGCCATGGCATCAACATGGAGGCCATGACACCAATATGGCGGTCATGGCACCAACTTGGTGGCCATGGCAACAATATGGCGGCCATGACACCAACATGGCAACCATGGCACCAATATGGCAGCCATGGCACCAATTAGCAGCCATGGCACCAATATGGCAGCCATGACACCAACATGGCTGCCATGGCATCAAGATGGAGACCATAGCATGAATATGGCAACCATGACACCAACATGGCAGCCATGGCACTAATATAGTGGCCATGGCATCAATATGGTGGTCATGGTATCAACATGGCAGCCATGACACCAACATGGCAGCCAAGAAACCAATATGGCGTCCAAGACACCAATATGGCAGCCATGGCAACAACATTGCGGCCATGACACCTCCCTGACACCCCCAACGGCAGCCATGACACCCCCAATGGCGACCATGACACCCCCAATGGCGGCCATGACACCTCCATGATACCCCCAATGGCGGCCATGACACCCCCAATGGCGGCCATGACACCTCCCCCCACACCCCTAACGGTGGCCATGACACCCCCAAAAGCGACCACGACGGCACGGGCAGCCATGACCCCCCAATAACCACCCCACCACCCCTCACCGCCCCCTCCCTTGCCCCTCCCGCCCCTCAGGCTCCGCCATCCCGGGCGACGCCTTCGCGCAGGCGCGGCGGGAGCTGCTGGAGCACCTGGAGGCGGCGGCCTGGGGGCCGTACCGGGCCTCGCCCGAGTTCGGGCGCTACGTGCAGTTCAAGTGGCTCGAGGGGCAGCCCGTGGGCGCCGACGCCTTCGTGGAGTTCCGCGTGCTGGGCAAGGGCGGCTTCGGCGAGGTCTGCGCCTGCCAGCGCCGCGCCACCGGCAAGATGTACGCCAACAAGCGCCTCAACAAGAAACGCCTCAAGAAGCGCAAGGGATACGAGGTGGGGACGCCTTGGTGTCCCCCAGGGGCGGCCCTCGGTCCTCTCGGTGGTCCCACGGTGCCCAAATCTGCCCCTCTGTGCCCAAATCTGTCCTTCTGTGCCCAAATCCGTCCCTCTGCCTCCGTAACCATCCCTGTGGTCCCTCTGTCCCCAAATCTGTCCCTCGGTCCCCTCAGTGGTCCCCCTGTGTCCAAATCCATCTGTCTGTTCTCAAATCCACCCCTGAGTGCCCAAATCCATCCCTGAATGCCCAAATCCATCCCTCTGTCCCCAAATCTGTCCCTCTGTCCCCAAACCCACCCCTCTGTCCCCAAATCCGTCCCTCTGTCCCGAAATCCATCCCTCTGTCCCCAGACCTGCTCCTCTGGATGACCTTGGCATGTTTTTTTATGTTTCCCTTGGCACATGCCACCCGCATGTCCTTGACGTGTCCCCGGCATGTCCTTCACGTGCCCTCAACACGGCCTTGGCGCGACCTTCATATGTCTCCCTTGGCACGTGCCACCTCCGTGTCCTTGACACGTGCTTGGCGTGTGCACCACCCACGTCCTCGGCAAGCGCCCCCTGCGTGTCCCTGACGTGTCCTTGGCGTGTCCTTGGCGTGTGCAGGCGGCCATGGTGGAGAAGCGGATCCTGGCGCGCGTCCACAGCCGCTTCATCGTGTCCTTGGCCTGCGCCTTCCAGACCAAGACCGACCTCTGCCTCGTCATGACCATCATGAACGGCGGCGACCTGCGGTACGGGGGGGGGCTGACGTGGCCTTGGCATGGCCTTGGCGTGTCCTTGGTGTGCGGTTGCCGGGGGTGGCTCCTGGTGGTGTGTTGGGCGTGGCCTTGGTGTGTGCCACACGTGTGTGTGTGGGATTGGGGATGAGGGTGGTGCTGGGGTCTCCAGAGCGTGTCCCCCCGGCGTGTCCCCACATCCTTGGCATGTCCTTGGCGCGTCCCCAAGGGCTGGGGTGCCCCCTGTGTCCTTGGCATGTCCCTACCATGTCCCCAGGGCCCAATGTGTCCTGTGTCCTTACCATGTTCCCAGTGGGCCCCATGCCCTTGGCATGTCCTTGGGATGTCCCCAAGGGCTGGAGTGTCCCCCACGTCCTTGGCATGTCCCCAAGGGCTGGAGTGTCCTCTATGTCCTTGGCATGTCCTTGGCATGTCCCCAGAGTGTCCCCAGGGTCCTGGCCTGTCCTTATGTCCTTGGCATGTACTTGGCATTTCCCCAGAGACCTGGTGTGTCCCCATGTCCTTGGCATGTCCCCATGTCCCTGGTGCCCTGAGCATGTCCCTGCCGTGTCCCCATGTCCTTGGCATGTCCCCATGTCCCTGGCGCCCTGAGCGCGTCCCTGCTGTGTCCCCATGTCCTTGGCATGTCCCCATGTCCCTGGTGCCCTGAGCGTGTCCCCGCGGCGCCGCAGGTTCCACATCTACAACGTGGACGAGGAGAACCCGGGGTTCGCGGAGCCGCGCACGGTGTTCTACACGGCGCAGATCCTGCTGGGGCTGGAGCACCTCCACCAGCACCGCATCGTCTACCGGGACCTCAAACCCGAGAACGTCCTGCTCGACGACGCCGGTGACGCGGGGACGGAGGGGACGGAGGGGGCGGCAGGGGAGTTGGGGACATTTGGGGTGCTGGGGGTGTTGATGATGTTAGGGATTTGAGGATGTTGGGGATGTTGGGG